CCTTTGGGGAGAGCCGCTGCCACCGCCTCGGTCCCCGGTTTGCGCGGGTCCTCTGGGAGGCGGGGATGGGCTCCCGAAAATTGTCCTCGGTGTTGGGTGTCACTTGTGATGGGGAGGAAGAAGAGAAGGACCAGCGGGAGGGTGACGGGAGCAGCTCTCTGCTGCCGAGACCCGTGGGGATGGGTGGTCCACGCACCGGAACCCCGAGCATCCAAAGAGGTGGGACAGGTTAGAGGAGGGGACACCTGCCTGGGGCCCCCAGCGATGCCCCCCTGCCCATGCAGCTCCTTACCCCCCCCCGGGGAACCCTGCTGGCGCCCCATGGGTGTCCCTTGCATCCCATGGGTGTCCCCAGCCTCCGTGCCGGGATCAGCTCTCCCTGACGCTGCTCCCTCGCGCCGTCGCAGCCTGGCTGGGGTCTCCCGCAGCACCACGGTCCTGGTGGCTTACCTCATGACGGTGACCGAGCTGGGCTGGGAGGGCTGCCTGGCCGCCACCAAGGCCGTGCGCTCCTACGTCAGCCCCAACTTCGGCTTCCAGCGGCAGCTGCAGGAGTACGAGGCGACCCTGCTGCAGGAGGTGGGTCCTGCGCCCGCGTCCCCTTGTGCAGGTGTCAGCAGAGCCTGGTGACGCGCGGCTCTTTTGCATGCAGCGCTCCGCGGGGGCCAGCTGTTTGCCCCAGCTGCCTTTTGTGCGTGCTATTTATTACCTGGGGGTTTTGGGTTTTGCATACCAAAAAAAAACAGAAAAGAAAAAAAAAGAGCGCCTAGATGTTATGTCAGCGCACTTAGAAAAGCTGTGCAAAACCCCAGTGCTTTTCTCTGGCAGCGAGGTTGGACGAGATGATCCACAGAGGTCCCCTCCAGCCCCTGCCATGCTGTGAATTTGTGGTTCTGGGGGGTTCAGTTGGGACACGTCAGGAGGGACGGGCGAGTGGCAAGTCCCCGGGGAAGGGTGCTGGGCTGGTTCCCAAGAATGCAGGGCAGCGGGAGCCGGAGGCGGAAAGGAGGAGAGGAGAGGGAGGAAGGCTCTTGCAAGAGGCTTCGGACATCTGGGCGTGCTTGGAGCTGGCTGGGCTTCCGCTGACAGCAAGTCCTCTGCTTTAGGAAGCCAGCAACAGAGAAAAGAAAGCGTTGGTGGAGAAATTCTCCTCTTTCCTTCCCAAAAAGACCCGGAGCAGCAGGTTTTAGGAGAG